ACATATTACATACGGACTATTTGATCATACTAACCATTGTTCTCTGATTTTTTAAGTAAAAAATCTATTAAAAAATTATGGTTTAGAACCAAGTTTTGTCTTGGTACTTAATTGCACAAATCTTAATTTAAGGATTCAACTTGACATACAGGTTGAGTTCTTGTTATGTTAATCAAGTTTGGCTTAGGAGCTCTAAGTTTAGCAAAACATGCTCTCTATTGATACTTTTCTATCATCACTTCTATTAGCTTCCCTGAGAACAAAACTAAGGCCCAAAATGAAGGCCGCCTCCAAACACGACATGTGAGTTTGACATGCTCGATCTGGCCAAATCCCGTCATTCGTATATAATTGGCGGACCATTATTAATTGATATGTCGTGTCATTGATAAGTACTCCCGTGTTTGATAGATCATTGCTCATGTAAACATATCACAAGGCGATGAGCTATTCTCCATCTCAATTTGTTTTGAACAAAGCCTGTGTGAATAAAAATGCAAAAACATCCATTTAAACTACATGGGCAATGAGTCCAGTCCTATGTCACTTCGATGTAAACAAGTTCCAAGAATTCAACTACCATATGCATATAGGTTGTTGCAACTATGAGTTTAGGACATGGAGAAACCTTATTGAACTAGAATTTATACAGATGATTCATCTAGAATCTAACTTGTCTAGTACTAGATTCAAGCCTGTTGAACTCCATCCGGGATTTTAACCGTATTGCCAAATGTGAAAACCTTTAGCATACATTTATTGACGTCGATCATCTCAAAGACACATATATCTCCCACCTTGAGGTTTTTTTCCTTTATAACTGTCTTCCATCCTCTGCATAAATAGTTCTTACACCTTTTTCGTTGAATCATACTCAATAACCACTTCTTACCATCAGAATCATGAAGTTCAAAATGCCCAGCTCTAGATCCTTCTACGACTCTTTTTGCGACGGGCACGTACTTCAGAAATAAGTAAAAACTTAACCACGTTAGGGTCAAATGAAAGCTACACATATGACATAGTAAACACAAAGCTCGAGAGCTTACCATACAACACCTTGGAAAAAGATTGTTTGGCTTCAAACTGACTCTAAATGAAGGATTCTTGGGTGAAAATTTTCCTGAAACAGGTACTGTATGAATCAATATTTCACCAATTCTTTTTTCTTTTTCTTTTTTTGTAAGCAAAACTTACTGT